ATAGATAAGACAGAAGTATATTAATTTCGCGTTTATGAGCGGCTCGTGTCGATTTCTTTTCTTTTCATATGTGATTTCTCCTGTGTAATAATAATAATAATCATAAAAATAAGATTGAATTAAACCCGCAAGGCGGGGATTAGTTGCTCTTAGTCATTGATAACAAACTTAGTAATATAAACTTAAAAACCATGACTCTGGATAAATTGAGTCTTTATATATTTGTAGTTTGTCTAACAATAACAGGTTCAAATTCTTTCTAAAGATTACAGTTTCTTGAAGAGGATCATAGCCAGGCAAATTGTTCGATCTCGCGAGGGTGTTTGAAATTTTTGCGACACGGTGAAAGAAGTTTTCACAAAGCTTGCTCCGTGTTATCATTGGCATTCTCAAAAGCATCTTGTTCCCAGTTCGACTTGAATCAGGGCCCTTGTCAATTGTCCAAAAATCAAGAAAAATGATCGGCAACTCGTTTTTAAGAATGTTATTCAGCAAAATTAAATTGTTTTTAAAATAACGTCAGTGATTTTGGCAACAGTTTGCTTTTTTTTTTTTCAAATAAAAAACAATCCTCATCTTTCAATTCATTATTTTTTGTAACACCATTTTAAGCATCTCCGATGAAATTTCCCTATTCGCTTACATTGGTTTTTAGTCGCAAACCAAACTGGAGATGCATAAAAAATATTGATAGTCTGCAACTTTTAAAAAACGACACCCGAACAGAGCTTTTCAGTGAGTTTGGTGAAGATCTTCTGATGTAATTAAATTGCATGTGTGCTTTTTTAAGCCTTTCGTTGATGTGGTATACCCATGAAATTTCAAAGTTGCATCAAAGACCATGGTCTTTCACTGTGTTTTTAAAACTAGTTGATCTCCATCAATAGATAAAAGATCGCTTAAAGGGTATCGCTTGTTTGGTTTTTGAAATCTAATTTGTTCGAATTTGTTTAAATCGAAATAAATTCTGTTTCCTGCTGCCCATCTGATTACTTTGTTTAAATCTGTTTGAATCGAAGAAAGGTCGAACCAATTTCCAATAATTTTTGTATCGTCAGCATATGAAAAGCAAGGGTTGTCAATAACTTCTGGCATATCGTTTATGCATAAAGACAACAAGAACACTGCAACAAAAAACTTCCCTGTGGACCACCACTTATTATATTGCGGGAATGAGACAATGTATTACGAAGAAAAACTTTGTTTTCTGTTTGTGAGATACGATGCAAACAATTGAAGAAACTCATGGTCGAAGCCTATTCTGGCAATCTTGTATAAATTGATGTTATAGCTAATAGAGTCGAAATATTTTGCAATCTCTAAAAACAGCGTGAGAGCTAATTCTCCTTGTTGTAATTTCTTGTATACAACATCACAGTACAATATAAGGTTTATCACAGTCGAATGATGTTTTCGAAATCAAAGTTGGTTTTTACACAAATTTCTTTGATTGAACATTATTACCTTGTTATATAAAACTCGTTCAAATATTAGGGTGAGTGCAAGAAGTGTTGACATGGGCCTGTGATTTTCAATATTCATACGAGAAACTTTTTTGTGTAAAGGATTAATGTGTGCTGTTTTCCAGATATTTGGAAACTGTTCATTACTGATTATACAATTAAACAATTCAACAATATCATTCAAACAGAACTGTAAGACTAAAATTAATTTGTTAGGAGATATACCTTCAACTCAATTTGCTCCTGATTTGCATTTACTCAATTCGTTAAGAATTTCGCATTGCGAAACGAAAATATCTGATAAGTATATTTCTGGAAAAATTTTTCGCTTGGAACATTCAATTGTTCGTTATCTTTTTTGTACGCAAATGCAAAAAAAACTCGTTAAAAGCCTCGCAGATTGCAAAATCAGAGCATAAACTGGTATTTTTGTATGACATTTACCTGGGTACTTTTGCCTTTCCATTTATCGATATGAGAAATTTGTAACTCATTAAATCGAAGTATTTCAATGACTAAAAAAAAACGACTTTGTCTACTTCTAGAGAATCATTCAATTCTTGCTTGCAGCGCTTAACTTTTTCATCAGAATAATTACTTTTCAAGACCGTCTGAAGACGATTTTCAGCATTTATTGAGTGTGATGACATCCAATGGGGGCTTTAGAGCGACGAATTGTCTTTTTTGGAATATATTTGTCAACGGCTTGATAATACAACCCATAGAACGTTTCAAGCATTCTATTTGCATCATTCGAGCAATGAAGTCTGTTGTTTTTAAAAAAATGCAACGATTCGGAGTCTGCTTTACGGATACAGTAACGGTTTAGATTTATCTGTTCCGCTTCAATTTCAAATGCTATTTGACAGGAAAGTTGCAGGATGATCTGAGAAGCTTTGGTATTTTCGAAATTATTACATAAAAAATGCTTTTCTATTAATAATACGTCTCCCTGTAGTAAATCATTTTCTTTCATTAAACTAAGATTTCAAAAAACTGGATTCACGTTGGTCATCACTTGATAAAATATTCCAATCAACTGAAGTTAAGTTCAGATCGCCGCATAAAATCCAGAGCGTTGTGCTCTTGTTAGAATCTACCATATGAACTTTGAGTTGTTTGTTCCTTTCACCCAAAAACTTTTCAAATATAAGTCCGTTTAGAGTATCAGGACTGTCATGCGGTGGATTATAATTGGCTGTTATACAAAGCATTATGTTATTCAGCTTCACAAACAAATATGACCCAAAGTTAAAAAAACTGATTGATCATCAATGACATTTAGTTTGAGTGATATTTTAACCGCAATTAGGACTCCTCCATGAGGTCCATTTTTCCTATCAGAAAGGTGAGTTACTTCACTTACATTTGTGCAGAAGACTGCAGTATTTTCAACATGTTTGACCGACCGTATTTCACTTAGGGCAACAATGTCAGGTTGATGGATTCGCAATAAATTGTCCAGCTTGATTTTCCGTTCAATTGTTAAAAATGATCTGCAATTAATGGACAAAAGTTTTATGTCCTTTAGTAGTCAAGAGGAAGAGTTCCTTTTACCAAGAATTCGATCACACTCGAATTGAACCTCTTTCTTACAGTCAATTGTTTAAACCCCAAAAACAAGGCTTCGAGCCTTTATTTTGAATTCTGATTTTTCTTTTTGCTTCAAAGAACTCAAATCGTATCTATATTTTAGAATTTTCCTTTCGTTCTGATAGTACGCATCCGCATAACTCATTAATTCCTTGATATACATTTTCGACTTCTTTAGCTTTCTCAATGACAGAAAAATAAATTTGTGATGCCACGGAATGTAAAATATAAGAGGTCTTGATTCGTCTGGTTGCTCTTTACCAAGTCTAAAACAGTCGCTCACAGTAATTGCTTCAAGTTCCATCGTATCTCTGAACATTTGCAGCAAACTATTTCTGTCCTTTTCAATTTGTACCTGTTTATCGTCCTCTATATTTTCTGTTAATACATATATCACTAGTTTCTTTCCAATAAGACTAGAGTCTGTTTTAGCTTGGTTTAAGGTTGGAGCATTATTCATTGTTGTAGATAAACTTCTCTGATTTGATATGTTTTTGCGCAAAACGTTAATGTCTCTCTCAGTTGACGAACAATTGTTACTCGGTCTAATGGACAGCTTCAAAGAAGCAAGGTTTTGTATTTCTGAGGTTTTTTTCTGAATTGTCATTATTTGGTTGTTATTCTGTTGTATTGAAAATTTTAGATCGGCTAAATTGTTTTGATCGCTATATTTTAATTTTCTGGTTAAATTGTTTTTTTTTTTCAAAAATTTCGTCGATCTTTTTTTTGGTCGACGGACCAAGTTAATTTTTCGAGCATTCCTAGAATACTCAGTGGCTACGAAGACACTATTTCGACTACGAGGACCTTATTTTGACAAAAAATTTTGGCGCAGCAGCCAACTCTTGAAAAAACAGTCAAAAATGCCGTTTTTGGGCACTTTTTGGAAAATGTTGACCAAAAATCGCGTTGATTTTGGCAAGCGCTCCTACATACAAATTTAGAATGTATTGGCGCCTTTGGAAACATTTTAGGGTTTGGTCGGCCGAAAATGGATGCCCTAAAATAATACCAAATGGGAGACCCTTTGGTTGGTGAGGGTGTCAAATCCCTGACAATACTTAAGAGAACAGCAGCGAATTTGGGGCTTGAGGGGGGTCGGAATCCCCCTCAGGGATTCTACCTCCTGCCGACCCAAAGGGTCCCCCTTTGTACCATTGTGAGATATTGTGAGGTTTTTGGCTTTGACCCTAAAATTTTTCTAGAATGTACTATTTTTGAGGGGGAGCGAGCGCCGAAAAAACGCGTTTTTTTAGTCAACATTTTTCAAAATAAGCCCAAAAATGCCTTTTTGGACTGTTTTTTCAAAAATTTGCTTGCGGCGCAAAAATTTTGGTCAAAAAAGGGTCTTATTTATAGTGATTTGGGAGAGCTGCAGAAAATCAATTTGGTCGACCTGAAAAAAAAAATTATAACGTAGAACGACTCATCTAAATAATGGTTTTCAAATTATTTTTTGTACTGCATGATAATATTTGATTCTGAGTATTTGCGGTTTTTTGAAAAAGTTAACGGCGCCGACTTCATTGAAACAAGCTTAGTGGTATTTAGTGAAGTTGATATATCCGAAAATGGAAAAAGAATGCGTTTTATTGGTATAACTGGCATTCCGATCGCTTTTTTTGCCTCGCGCTGAGTTTCGCTTTTGAAGAGCGAACGGTTAGTCAAAAATGGTGACGAAACGGCACACCATCTCAACTCTTGATTCTGATTGGCTTGAAAGTAGTTTTCTGATTCAGGCGCTGACCTGGTGTCAGTTAACTTAAAAAAGAACAATTTTTATGATATCATTTGAAAGCTTTGTAGATTTACAGCCATATGTGACATAATGGTATAGTTATAACTTCGGCTCAACAAGATATACTTAAAAAGCATACGATTATGAATGTTCAGAATTTTGATAAGAATATCAGTTATATGTATTTGCAAGTTAAACTACTTGATTTGTTAGTGCGTTACTCGTGTGCGATAAATGAGTCGTTTCAAGATTTACAATATATATTATTTACTGGTGCATCGTAACATTCACCTCGTTTTTGAGCCGAAAAGTCAACAAAATCAGTATTGTGTGCTGCACCTTCGACAATAAGTTGCTCTCTGATTTAATTTTCGACCAAACTTTCAAATTTTTAGTTTTCAAATTTTTAGTCTTCTCACTTTGCCGAAAAAGAATACGAAAGTTAAGCAAGAGATCTGTAGGCTATAAAAATTTAGATTCTAGTTTACCTGCAAAAGTTCACTTCGAATTCTGATTTTGGTTTGATCTTGTGGTCACATTTCAAAGATGAAGAACTGTGTTTTCCCCTTGGCTGAATCTGAGTCGATGAGATCCAAGATGGGAGTTCATCTAATTCTTCTGGCACTGATGATTTCCAGATGTTCTTCTGGCTCTCACGGGTTTGTAATATCTTATTTTCTTCTTGCTTCCAAAATAGAATTCAGAGAGTTAATTTGAGTTGGTTCCGTTTTGACGACTCAACATTGTTACGAGTGCCATACTCATGACCGAAGAACCTATTTTAGGCGAAAGCCTGTGTCAATCAAAATGTTCAGAACTAGCCTAATTTTCACGCAAGTGCAAAATAGGTAATTCTTCAATTTTTTGTTAACTGTTTTTGATTGAGTTCTAGCTGTTTTTAACGTATTTTTTCATCATCTTTGTTTAAGACTGATACTCTGCACTCAGGGGTGGATTTAGGGGGGGGGGACGCTTTCCCTCTCCGGGATTCGACCCCTGCCGACCCAAAAGGTCCCCCTTTGTTCTAATTTGAGATACCCATTTTTGGTGACGGAACCTAAATATTTTCTAAAGGCGTCTTTGGCGCCAATATATACTATTTTGAGGGGGGAGCGCGTGCCAAAAAAATGCGATTTTTTGGTCAAAATTCTCCAAAATGTGCTTAAAAACGCTTTTTTGGCCCAGCTTTTTTGGCAGAAAAAATCCTAAATCCGCCCCTGTCTGCACTACTTAATTGTCGGCAGCACAAGTCGACTTCTTCATAGACACCACCCCCCCCCTCCTTGAATATTGGCCCCTCCAAATTATGGGGGGTGTGAATGGACCCCACCGTAGTTTTTATACCATAAATTTTATACCCAAAATTTGTTAGAATTATATGTCATTTTTGAGAGCTCCAAATCAAAAAAAACTGTGTTTTAGCGCAAAAAAAGTGTCTTCTGAATAATATAACTTAAATCTTATGCCAATTTTATTGTTCTAATGGTCTAATGTTCTAATTCTTATTTTATTGTTCATGGCTGATTTACCATTATTTGTATCAGAATTGATCCAAAGTTGCGGGACGCCCCCCCCCCCCCCTGATAATTTTGAACCCCCCGCAATGAAAAACGCCTTTTTGTTCAAAAAATACTCAGCCCAATGATAATTTTCAACCGGCCCGCAAATTACGTATTGCAGATTAATCAAATTTTCTAATAAATGCGCTTGCGGAGCCGGGCCAAAAGATCGGAATTCCCCCTGAATTGATATTTCCCCCTTGGGTTGACAGTTTTTTTTTGTTTTCGGAACTACAGCAGTTCGGAGTGGGATGATAACGAGGACTACACAAACTGGACTGGAATTGCCTTCGAGTGCCAATCCTCGTCTGTATTCGTGTGTGAGCCAGTGCAAGCCTGTTTCGATAACCGTGACTGTCAGGTAAATGGACAGAGTAGCCAGTTCTGCTGTGGATCAGTGTGTATCGGCCTGAGTAAACAGCATTGCCAACAACAACAGTTTCCGTTGTAAGCACTGCTCTTTTTATTCATCGTCATAATAAATCATAACTTTATTTTCAAGAAGGTAACAGTTTGCCAAATTTACAAAATTAAACATAGTTGTCAATAAATCTCCCCTTTGGACCATTTGAGATATACATTTTTGGCTGACTGACACTAAAATTTTTCCTTGGGCGCCAATATATATTAATCTTGACGTCGGAGCGCGCGCCGAAAAAACGCAATTTTTTGGTGAAATTTTTCCGAAAGTGCCTAAAAACGCCTTTTTTGGCCTGTTTTTTTTTTTCAAAAAATTGCCTGCGGCGCAGAAAATTTGGTCAAATTTGGTGTATAGTGATTTGGGAGAGCTCAGAAAATCAATTTGGTTGGCCTAAAAAAAGGGCGAAAAAATTCCGAGATCTGCGCCTGTATGCTAGCCTACAAAGGAACGTGAAAATTTATTGAAATTTAAAATAATTTTCAAATACTCTTTGACTGTAGAAACTATTTTAAACAGCGTTTCGTTCGGACTCGTTGTCGGTAGAACTAAATTGTAATACTGAAATGTTCTGTTTTGGTTCAGTCTGATTCCTCTGACAGCTGTGATCGGAACCCTCCTTCTTGTACTCACAGTCTACATTGTCATCAGATGGAACACTAAAAGATGTAAGCTATTCTTCATGCCTCATTTGAAGTTCATCCTCCAAAGACCTCCATTTGATACATAGCTTATAATCAGTGATATCCATTTAAGAAGCATTTTATATTAATTTGATATATTTTTTGAAGTTTAAATTTAATTAAATGAGAAAACTAAAACAAAAAATAAGTAAACATTTTCGTTTTAATGTTATAATTTAGTAAATGAGAAAGGAATAATTGTGGACTCTAACTCTTGCCTGGATGAGCCAATTTGAACTCATCTGGTTATTAAATGTTAATTTTTTGTATTTTTAAATGGAAATCACGGTTTATAGATCCTTTATCTTATATATCATCGAAATGTACTTTCAGAATTGATAATGTTTTTTTTGGGAAGTAAGTTATTCACCAGGAGTTTTTTCCAGCAGGAACGTGAACAAAAACAATATTTTAAACCCGTATTTGCAAGGAAGCTTCTGCGTAATTAGATATTGTTTCCGTCATTAATAAACGTCTTAAAATAATCTGTGAGAGCATTATTCTTTAATAATTTCGAGGCCAATCTTGGCTCTTTTCTGTTGTCTGGGCCAAAAACAGGAAAAAAAGCTTTTTGAGATGAAGTTTCAAATCATTTTTGAAAAAATTCTTCTGTTATTGATTGATTTCAGTCAATCAGAAAAAAAACATGTCTTTTGAGAACCGAACAGAAAGCAATTGAGTAATTTCCCCGTTTTGTTCCAGTGTGTCATGCTGATGTGGAACAGCTTAATCTGCACTCCAGAGTTGTTGGTTTTGTGCGCAATGTGACCAGTGCCGACGACATCAACCCGAGGAATCTGCAGCCAGCATCAGTTATGGGGATGACGTAAGCTATTTTTCATCATCTTATGTGAAGATATGATTTGGTGTATATAGTTGGACTTGAATAGTTTCTTTTATATTAGGTGTTAATGAACGAAATGAATTTTTGCTGATTTAGGTCGTGTGCTTTTTCTGTTTTTAATTTATACTTTAACGGTTGGGTTTGTGATTTATTTTTAGAAATTTCGCGTTTTAATTCATTTTAAAATTGAAAGGCAAATTACGCTCTTCAATAACAATATTGTGCATGTCGGAAAAAAACATGAACAACTTTTACTTTCAAAAGTGATTTTTTTTATGTTTTCACAGTGGAATGAAAAACTTCCTGTCGATCCTGTTTTCTCAATTGGGGTGTATTTTATCGGAAACGCTGTAAATAGTTTTTTTTGCCTTTGAAATCTGCAAATTGGTGCTTGTTTGTCCAAAAAAGTTCCAAAAGGAAGAATAAATCTGGAAGTAATTTGATCAAAAAAATGAATTTACTTTTTTTTTAGTCATTGAAAGCGCACAAGTCTTGTTCTTCTTATTTAGTATTCAAATTCAGTGATTTTAAAGGGCTCTTCTGGCCATTTTTATGCACTTTTATACCACGTTTTTTCAACGAACAAATGCCACAGTTTAGTTAGTTTAATTATGATCTGTTGAATCCGTCGATTATAACTAAAAATGTTATAAGCGCTCGTTGAATAATTAATGAGTGGAACTGATCACATCATATTAGATAATGGGCTTTTTAGCAAATGGCCCTTTTAGCATAAAAAGTGAAAACTTGGTCTTCTAGCAGACTAATGTAGTACAACTGACGCATAATTGATTGACAGACGTGAAAAGATGCTTAGTCTGGAGTTGAGCTTCCCCAATTTAAACAATCATCGGACCTCGGTATAGGTTTTCCCAGTTGTTAGCGATTCCCAGAACAACTAGCGAAAGGGGTGAAATTCGTTACAAGGTTCAAAATTCACATATTTCTTAGCCGTTGAAATAATTCTTTATAGGCGTAGTGATTCTTTACTAGGTACCATAGGGGGATAGTTAGCAAGATCTTCATCATCTCGCCAATAGTCAACAAAACATTATCAACGGTAAAAACAAAAATCTCAAAATTTGCGGCAAAACACTGATTTACGCGAACAAAAACATCCGCGCCGAATGTAAGCGCAACAGAGCAAGGAGTCGTCACTTGCCAATGCCACTTTTGAAATTAGCGTTCTGACTTGTCAATTGTTCTGAGTCTGCTAAAAAGTCAGTCTGCTCAGCAGCCAGTCTACTAAAAATTAGTCTGCTATAAAATCGGCCTGCTAAATTACTTAGCACCGTACTACCCACCTGTTGATTATGGTTCCTTGTTGCTATGATATCAGTACTTGTCAGCACCACCTGACTGCGTGATCTGATTGGCCATCTGGTGCTTCGAATCGCATCAGATGGTGCGCTGCGAGTTGCATGTAATACTTGTAGTCATTTAATCGGTTAATTTGAGTTTGTAAAAGCCAGCTCTGAAGATTAAAAAAACAGTGAATGGACCTACCTGGCACTTTTGCTGGATAAGTTAAAATCAAGCAGAAAAAGAACTTTCATATGACAGTTAAATTAGGTTGAATGTAACGAACAGAAAATGAACTTACATGACACTCATATCAGGTTGAATGCAAAAAACAGAAAATGAACTTACATGACGCTCATATTAGGTTGAATGAGCCAAACTGAAAATGAACTTATATGAGACTCATATTCGGTCCATTTGCGAAAGACCGAATGTGCAAATTTTTTTTCAACCAATCAGAGCTCAGTCTTCAAAAATCAAAAGAGTTAGGCAATAAATTCAGTCAGTTTTGGACAGGTTACTACGTGGCTTAAATCTGCCAAGAAAGAAGTCGATATCCCTGAATCGAAAGAGTTCGATAATACTGTTCCTTGGACGTGTCTCGAAACACTAACTGATGAGCAGGAGAAATGTCAATGATGAGCATTGAAACCAAGCGAAATGTTTTTTTTTCTACTTATTCCGCCCAAAACATTTTAAAAGGGGCGCTGAACAGTGCTGAAGTACAGCAGTGCCGAAAATGTATTGAGACGTACGAACGTTTCGGTAGATCTAGTTTTTTCCAACACTTCTCTTTTTTTCAAATTTTTATATATCATTTTCAAATTTGTGTTCTATCGCAAGTGATGCAAATCTCCGCCTCGCCTCTGTGTTAAAACTCCGGCCATGTTCCTTGAAAAAAGGAAGACAAACAACATTATTGAAAAGCAAAAGTGTAAAGATCACGAAAAACGTGATCGACTTCTAGTTTCTTAAGTATATTTACACTTGCGATTTGCAAGCGTTATTTAATTTGTAGATTTCACCGCGGAATATAAAATGAACCGATTATTTCAGTTTTCGCAAATTAATTTAAACCAATCGTAAAAGTGTAAAGGACATTTTTTTTTGGAAATTCAAAGATCTTTAAGGCAGATCTTTTTCTGTTTCCTTGCTTTCATGGACTCTTTTCCGACTGTCTGTTGGCTATGTTTGTTATTTTGATTATGTTATATAGTCCGGGTAGATTCTCAGTGGGTACGCAATGTGCCTGTGTTCTATTCACTCCATACTAATCGAATTACTTTGAGTAAATAGACAACAAGCACATTGCGTACCCTCTGAGAGTCTACTCGGCTTAACCAACAAAACCAAAGTTATAAACAAAAGAAAAACTTGTTCTAAATTTTTTGAATTAATAATTTTTGTTATTACCCTTGCGATAAGCAAGAGTATTACAATCAGTACTATAGGTATTACAATCGGTACTATACTTATTCCCGTAAACACTTTTGTCCACAGGACTCACTCATGTGGACCCATTCGTCTCTGACATGCTCAAATTCTGGGTAACCAAATAAAACTACTAATATCTAACTAGCAATTAGAAGTACTATCATACAGGTAGTAACTAGTTAAAGCCTGTTTCAGGTTGTAATTATCTTCAGTTCATGTTATATGGCGACTTAGTCAGTTTATATTGCGTAATTTTGATGGCAAATTATATTCGTGATTGATTGTGTTTCAGTTGGATGGGTCGTAAAAACTTTTAAAACTTGAGAAAACTTCTTTGACAACAGTTTTGTTTTCGGCTCAACAGGTTTCGTCCCAAAGTTTGTCATCTTTGTTACCACTCGGTAAATGATTTCTTTTTCATTTTGATTTTTCTGAGTTTTATTTGACTTGGTTTTTTTTCCATTCACTATCTTGCAGCGCAAAAGTTTTATGCATCGCAAGTGTTGCTTAGCTTCGCTTCGTATCTGTGTAGCTATTTTATGTTCTTAAAACTGCGGTTTCAAAAACTGCTATTGCTCTAGACAAAAAATTTATTGACAAATATTATCACAATTAAAAATAATTTTGAAAACATCTGAAAAGTTACGATTATTCAAATTAGATATTCAGATATTTTGATTTGACTGTTCCATTTTTTTCCCAGAAATTGGGCGGATTTGTTCTAAATATGCATCGTCTGTTTCGTGTATAATATCTCTTTTGTTTAACTGTTAAGAAATAACCTTACATAGTTATAATGTAACTTGCAGCATTTTTGGCTGGTTGTATAATTGTAGTCGTATGCGTTTATTGATTTTTTCAAAAAATTTCATCTATCGTGGTGAAGTTTACTGTTTACAAAAGTGAAATGCTGCTAAGAAAACATAAACAGCATGTGTCTAATTTTGGTCTTTGTAATGTTTTGTACGGCTGTCTGTTTCTTGTGGTTTTTAAAAGCAAACTGAGCATGATATGAACCGGGGTCGATAAAATGTTCGCTGATTGATTTGCATAACTAAAATTAGTTATATTCAGATTATTGCATTTGCTGAAAAATCAAAAGATCCGTTCCACTTTTTCTCTCTATTGCAGAAGGGAGAAAAAATTTACTGAGTACAATAATTGCATATAATCAAGCGTTAAATTAGTTATTCATTGGGATGAATATTCTTATTTAGGTACCACAGGGCAAATAGTCAAAGAGATCCCGAAATAATTCTGCAGTTCACCTGAAATTCGAGAAAATCTGTCAAAAATTGAGCTCTAACTTCGAAAAATAAAAATTCCTGCTATTTTCGTTAAGATGAAACAACTGAATCTATTTTTATAGAAAACAAAAAACTATCAAAAACAACTTCTGATTTTTGTTCATTTTTTCACACTATTCCGTCTGATCTCAATTTTGCTTTGATGTTTGCAGTTTGAATGTGAACGAATTCCGCCGCCAGGAAACTCAGCCCACAAGCCAACCACAGCCCGGAGAAGACGACGAGTTCAAACCCAGACTGCCCAAGTACTCTTTGAACCGAGATGAAGTGATTCCAGAAGCTAATTATGTAATGCGATATGCAGAACCACCAAACAGTCGAAGGTTAATAATTTTTCCTAGCTGATTTTCATATTATTGTTTCGTCTTTCGGAAAAAAGTGATGGAATATTTGTGCTCGGGGTGATTTTTTCGCCTGAAAAGTTTCGACTTTTCAACTAGCTATTTTTGACCGTATTTTTGTATATCATCTGAAAGCAATTATGATGACTTTAGCTCAAATTTAAAAAGGTTTTTTTACCTGTGATCATTTTTAGCAAAGTCTATTGGTTTCATTTTAGCCTTTACCGTCTATCTTTTAATGTCCTATTTACAATAACAGTTAGAGAATCGAAGTAATTTATAATCATATAATAATTCTTATTAATTTCAGAACAAGTGAATCAACAACACACGAACCAGACGAACCACCTCCGGCGTACAGCATTCCAGGCACGCCAGAAAGAAGGGAATCGAACCAGCAAGACGATACTGGTGCGCCGCCAGACTACGAGTCATCGATCCGTACAATCAGCAACACTCAAATCGATGACTCAGCCGTGTATCAGTACGCCATACCGCCTCTGCCATAGTCTTAAAAATCATTTTATTGGGAATCAAAGAAAAATGAAACAGTCAAAAAGTAATCAAAGTAATTTGTTTTGCGTGCTATTTTTCAATGTACTTAGTTTTTGTTAAAATTAAATAGCGTAATTTAATTATTTTCAAATAAGTGTACTCAGGTAGAGCTAGTAGTAGCACCTTCTACTGGAGTAAACCACAGCTAGTAGTGGCACCTTCTACTGGAGTAAACCACAGCTAGTAGTGGCACCTTCTACTGGAGTAAACCACATGGTAGTAAGGACAGGATGGAATATCAAAGTTGACAAGGTCAAAGATGGTTTGGTGATTATGAAGCTACCGCAGTTGTGATTGCTCACAGTGTCGTTGATTTTATTGTTGTGTTTCAGGGAGCAATCAATTCAAATCCTTTTGATTTGTAAATCCTTTATAATGATAATAAAACATAATAATAATAATAATAATAATAATCATAATAATAGCTTTAAAAATCATTTTATTGGGAATCAAAGAAAAATGAATTACAGCTACCCGCTACAATTACATGGTTGGCAAAAAAAGCCTCAGATGACTTTGCGAAAGCCAATTTGTTCAATGAGTATTTCCAAAGCGTTTACACTGTTTCAAGTGCTTTTGTCGACCCCTTCGGCCCTAACCCAGCGAGCATCCTTAAAGATTTTGATACATGGAACGTGTACTGGGCATTGTGTATAAGCTTGACGAGACCAAGTTAAGAGGCCCCGACAATTTGCCTCCGTCTTTTTTCAAAAATGCAGGTACCATAACCAAGAGCTTGTCAAAAATATTCACAAAAGTGAAGCAAACTGGTATATATCCTCTTAGATGGAAAATAAGCAAACTTAGACCACTCTTCAAAAAATCAAAAAAAGGGGACAGGCGAAGCGTTGAGAACTATCGGCCGGTGGCTTTGATTGATATAGCATCGAAATGTTTGGAAAACTGTCTGTTTATTGCCCTCTACGAATGGGTGTCTCCTCTGATTCCCGACGTTCAGCATGGTTTTAGACGTGGACGGTCTACTTTGACCCAGCTTCTACAGTATGTGGACTCTTTATACCGAGCAGCCGACACAACCAACTTAGTAGACAGTGTCTACCTTGACTTCAGCGAAGCTTTTGATAAGATCGATCATGATCGGTCGCACGCAGTTCGTGGAAGTGAATGGTGTGCAGTCCGCTACTCTTCCAATACTCAGCGGTGTCCCGCAAGAGTCCCTTCTAGGTCCTCTCTGTTTCTAATGTACAGCTTCGACTTCTGTGAAAAATTAGCCTGCGATGCGTTTACTTTCGCTGACGATGCCAAATTGCTGTCTATAAGACAACGTCTCTCTCCGCCGCATGTTCTGCAGCATGACATGCAATTGCTTCACCGTTGGTCAGAAAACAAGAAGTTACCGTTCAACCTGGAGAAATGTCATGTCACCTCCTGCCCAGTCAACTGAAGAAAAAGACCTTGGTGTTATGATAACGAATGACTTGAAGTGGAATACGCACATACTTTCCCGTTGTAAAAAAGTTCATTGCGTGCTACATCTGTTGATAAGAAATGTATCTACTCTTGCATCTTGGAGAACCAAATGTGACTTGTATTAGTCTATTGTGCTACCTGTGCTGACCTTTTGTTCTCCGGTTACGTCTCCATCGAAAGCCGCCCTCACAAAACTTGAACAGGTACAGAAGCGAGCCATAGCTTGGATCCTTAGTTACGAGTGTACTTAGAGAGATCGCTTAGTCTTCTTGAATTTGTTACCACTAACGGTGAATCTTCAAGTTTATGACCGCCTGACTTTCTCAAAGATCATGAATGGTGTGTATGACTTCAAACGGCATAAGTGCATCACTTTCAAGAGCTCTATTAGTACTCGTTCAGACTCAGCAATTTTCGCTGACCTCCCGAAAGTGAAGAAAGAGAGCTCGAGACAAAACTTTTTCTTCCGAACTGGACGCGTGGTAAATCAGATCCTTGCCTTCGTTGATGTCTATACTCTGGTTGACCTCAAACAGCGTTTACTGAAGTTCTTTTGGTCTTACTTTCATACACACTACAACTTCTATCGTCCATGCTCTTGGCGCTTTGCCTGTGATTGCGCACAGTGTCGTTGATTTTATTGTTTTGTTTCAGGGAGCAATCCCTTCAAAACATTTTGATTTGTAAATCTTCTATAATAATCATAATAATAATAGGCTTTAAAAATCATTTTATTGGGAATCAAAGAAAAATGAAACAGTCAAAAAGTAATCAAAGTAATTTGTTTTGCGTGCTATTTTTCAATGTAATTAGTTTTTGTTAAAATTAAATAGCGTAATTTAAATATTTTCAAAAAAGTGTACTCAGGTAGAGGTAGTAGTGGCACCTTCTACTGGAGTAAACCACATGGTAGTAAGGACAGGATGGAATCTCAAGTTGACATGGTCAAAGATGGTTTGGCGATTATGAAGCTACCGCAGTTGTGAATTGAATTAAATGGCATTTTCATAACGCTCAGGGTGGCGACGAGGGAGGACAGTGAATTCAATACAGTCAGCCTCCAAAGGGTCTCCTTTTAGTTTGTCGTCAGACTTGTAATAACATCCAATTTTCGTTGAGCAAACCAAAATTTTTTTCAAAGGCTCCTTTGTAGCCATAGTATTATCCTTGTGACGGTGTGAATTCACCCAAAATTATTTTTTTTCAAGATTTTTTAAAAAAAATTCAGCAAAAAAAAAATTTGTATTGCTGAAAATTGGGCTGAAATTTGGTCTTTTCGCGTTTCAAGAGAGCTAAAAAAAACATTGATGCTCGAATAAATCATAGAGTCAACACAAATTAGATGCGTTAGTAGACACGTAATTAGTAGACGCTCAAACGCTGTTGAAATATTTGGGGCTTACTAGAGGTTTTGAGTTTCACTAAATTTATTTTCTTGCTTTATAAATTGTCGTACGCATCGAATTAAACTGTTTTAATTCGAGAAACAAAGCTTGCAAGTGAACAGAAGTTCAATTTCCTTAATTAACCTGTCCAAAAACAAAAAGTAACATCACTGAAAATTTGATCTTGACTTTGCAGCTAAATAAACTGATATTCGTTTCAGACATCACGAAGCGGAAAAAATTTAATACAAAATCGCGGTTATTACGGTTTGATAGTGTCTTTTAACCCTATTTTTTGCACTTAGGTTTGTAAATTGCTCTTAAGTGATCAATCTTTTCGTGCAACAACGATGTAACTCTATCGTATTCTGTAGTAACTAAAACTTTGTAAAAATCATCCTTAAATTGACAAATGCGCGACCGGAAAAAAAGTTTTTCCATAACAGCTTGAAAATGCATTGAAGAATGTATGAGTTTTTGTGTTCCAAAAATCACTAATTATTTTTGCTTGTTTTGGTAAGTGATTGCTTTGTTCTGCCAAATGACAGTGTGTTAGATTGGCATTCATGTCGCTTTATTTTTCACAGCTACTTCGAATTCATAATTCGGAACCTCCTAAAATTAGTCCAAAATTCTGTTTTTCAGATTTTAATCGAATTGCAATATCATGTTCTCTGTCCGAATAGTTTATTCGGCTGCTATGATTATTTTTTTCTTCTAAAGTTAAGGGGGGTTTAATGAATGCCATTTTGGCCAATTTGGCACAATTGACGCGAGATATATTTCGCGCTATTAACGCGTAAGCGGAGATTTAATCCGTCTTAGAAATTGTTCCAAATTCGTTGAAAGAAGCTTATTTGCCATAATTGATTTGTTACAAGGAACGAAATCTATCTTTTTGTACTTTACCTGCGTCACTTGTAAAAACTTTGGTGAGTATCAGAAAACGACGAGCAGTGGTACTGGAACATTTTAAAAGCATTGTGGCAGAATTAGCGCAGCCATATTTCACAACCGGACAGAAAAAATAATATCACAATTTTATGAATATCTGAGACAGTAGAACTTTAAAAAGTTTCTCAATACCTAGGGCTACTTTATAAAAAATAAATACTGAATAACCATACTGAAGTCGTTAATGTTTGGCTAAACTAAATTTCTGGAGTGACATCGATTAAGAAAAATGGTTTAAAAAGTTTTTGTCAATTTCATTCAATCTGTATTTCAATAAGTTATCGTAATTTACATTTCGGCAGCAAAATTAACTCTTTTAAAGCTTAAGCATATTCAGACGCATAAATTACAAACGGAAGTTTGAATTTGTTTACTCGAAGCGTGAGTACTTGAAAACATAAAATTGACGAGCTTCAAATCTGTAAAAATTTAAAACTATTGCTTAAACTAATTCCCTAATTTCAACCAATTTACGTTAACAGAAATTCAAACCTTTTTCAATTAATCACACACTTTCTGAGTTTTTGGGAAGCAGTTGTACCGATGTCACAGAGCTCCAGAAACAACAAAACTAGAAAATAGTGGACATAGTTAACTTATTAATCCAGTTTAGTACTGAACACATTGGTATGGTTTTTTGGCGCAATTTTTGGAGCAACTAAAGTTTGTCGAATAGAAGCAACTTTTGAGAAAAATGACATTTGAGTAGATTAAAATAATTAAGAAATTTTTTATTTTAAATGTGATCTCTATGATTAGTAATGTCTTTAAGAAAAACTTGCGATTTAGTTTTGATAATGAATCTGTTCTGAAAAAATTTCAATGTAATGGTCGAAAGTTCTCAGGAGCTTTTTTTTACAATCTTGTTTGTTCTCCAGGTTGCAAATTCAACTTTGTTTTATTGGCTGCAAATTCACGATTTTGTAATTGTATAGCACGGTAGTAGAATTGAAATGCAGGAAAACTTTCAATTCGCACACGCTAAAAGTTACATCATTACGAGGCCAAACTGTGCATTTTGTGCATTGTATTCAGATTCCGCAACAAAAACGCTCCTTTTGTTCTTATTTTGTGCTTGAATTTCCTTTGATTGTTCCGACAAGTTTAAACAAAAAGTTTAAACACCTGTCTATGGATTCCAGGAACTTACAGACACAAAATTGTGCACCTATCCAGTGCACAGTTTGGCCTCGTAATGATTGAATTGTGAATCATCGAACAATAAACACAAGCCCTGAGTTTTCCAGGTGCTCTTGATTGTCCAAGAAAACTTAACATAAAACTTTAGAAAGTTTCCCCGTGATTTAAAG